GCACTCCCTCGGTTCCCCTCGAAATACCACTCACCGCGGGCCCATCTGAATTCCTTCTTAGAAAATGCCACCCTGCTCGCCCCAGCGACAGCCAGGCCACCCGTCCGCTCCCTCGCTCCCCATGCGCGCGGGCGACCCGGCCTCGATCTCTCGCTCTCCGTGATTCACGCGGTGATCCGGATCTCGATCTCTTTCCCCGCGCCTCGCCCCCTCCCCCGCAGTCCTCGCTCTGCCCTTGCGCTCGTCGCACCCGCGCCATCGTCGTCACCATCGTCCTCGCCCGCGCCATCGCCCTCGTCGCTGGAAATTGGGCCGGGGCACTAGCGACGAACCCTAACCCTATCTCCTCCACGCAAGGTGCGCACCGCGCCGAGACGCAGCGCCCAGTCCAAGCTCCCCAAGACGCCGCGCCCAATCCAAGCTGCCAGGACGTCCGCAGGACACACGCCGGCCGCTGCCATGCCTCCACTCTGCCGGGCCGCTACCACGCCGCCACACCGCCACTACGCCGCCACGCCACCACGCCGCCGGACTCCGACGCACGCCGCCGGGCCGCCGCCACACAGCCATCGCCGCCCATCTCGGAGAAGCCCTCCACCCCGTTTGGTAGCATTTGTGAGTCTAATGCACAGAGGTTTTGCTTTTTATGGGTTTATTAGTTGTGATTGTGATATAGATTTCTGGGGCGGTTTGCAGGTGACGTACGGGAGCATGATCAAGCTGATGCACGAGAAGATGAAAGCATTGGCTGCGCTCGCATGATCTGACAGTCACCAGGTTTTCAACTGGACCTTCCTTTAGATCTCATAAGGTAGTTCAATAGTCTTGAGTTTATTGATTAGCTCATTTTTGTCAGAACACAATACTCTCATCAGTTTCTTTGAATTTAATATAAGATGCAAACAGTCTATTTTCAAGATTGGGACTTAAAGGCTTTGTTGTTGTTGTTGTTATGCAAAGAGTCTATTTTTAAGATTGAGCTAATTTTTATATGAGATTAGAAAGAATGCAGGATCTCTTTGAAAATATACGATGGCTGATTGGTAGTGCTGGTAGTTCTATGATGAAAGAAATAAACATAGGAAGAAAAAATATTGTTATTGCGAACCTGATAATTTGTGTTTTCTGTATCGCAAAATTAACTACTATTTTCTATGAAAGGACAGTAGTTACAGTTTCATTGCAATGGCTAGCTTAGCAGGATTGCAATGGGGTGAAGCAGTTCAGGCACGAGACCATGATCTGGTGTCGCCTGCTCGCGGCACTCGCCGCTGGTGATGCCTACTCGCGGCCCATGCTGCACGAAGCTCTTATTAGTGTGTATTCTAAAAGAAGATACCAAATCATCATGACTAGATATGCCATGTACCTACTTTTAGTCAATTTAAAGATCTCAAATGATTATTGGACTGTACCTACCATCATCTCAAGGGAATGGAAGTTGGCTACTGGCGATCATTGGGTTATGCTCAGCCTAAGCTATTTGAGGAGAAAACTCAGTCAGGTCTGCATTCCATTTCATACACCATATATTATTAGTAGTGTAGTCATCCCAATGAGATATATAAAACTTATTTTGTTTCATACACCTATATTCCTTCCGGTAAATATAATGGTCATGCAGTAATCTATGTGTTGAACATTTGAATTTCACCTTAAATATTCTCTAAAACTTTAAGCATTTTCTAGAAATGCCATGTGGCAACATAGCATTTACTAATTTAACTTGGGTATTCTGGATGATGTGTGATGTTTTTACACATTGAGAACTTCGCCTGGGCTTATGTGATTTTGACTTGGTCATCTATTCTTGTGATTCTATAATATAATTGTTTGTTGGCAACCACACCTTTGGAGTAACTCAGGAACTCAAATTAGGATTAAGTTGCAAACTATGCAGCATATCAAGACTTCTTTTTTTCCTGAAGTCTGAACTGTTTAGTTTTAATAAGCATGAAGGATGAACCTATTAGTTTCATTTTTATTTGACAAACTCCTATTTTGTAATGGATTAGGAAGCTGAAGGAATTGCAAGTTTAAGATGGAAACTCATGCGGCAAGCTGGCAAGCAGTACTGCATGATGGGGTTCACATAGCAGAAATTATGATTCCTTATCTATGTGCATTGTTTCCCAACATTTTCTTTTGTCACTGATAGTTTACTGATTGAAAAAATTGGCACTTCAATACAGGAAGAACAGGATACTATTTTGGTAAAAATAGAAGTTTCTCATGCCCATGTGGAACTGTTAAAGCATACATATGTTTTGAATGATGCATTCTATATTTCACAACATGGAGTGTTTGGAACAATAAATAACCTCTGTCTTGGACACTCTCATGAGGTAGGTTACTGTTGTTTCCTATATATTAAAATGAGATTTTAATTCAGTTGTTTCATTTCCTTAGAGTCTTACTTCTTTAAATGTTTATTGGGAGGGTGACGCGTGGCATTCTGCTGTTGCATCAAGTTTGGTTTTGCAACTGATTTTGTCAAATAGTTTGAGCTGCAATTTTTTCTCTGTTCAGTGTACTGCACCTCGAGTGAAGATGTGATTCTGGTTTCATGTCAATTGGAATCGGGTTTGGTTTTGCACATGATTTTGTAAAATAGGCCGAGCTGCAGTTTTCTCTGTTTAGTGTACAGAAGCAATTCATGCTCTCTTTTTTGTTTTTTAGATTGTCAGTCCAGCAGTCGATCAACCCTTGATCGAACCGATTACATTTTCTCTTTGCAGGACTATAACATCAGCAGCTCAGACATATTCCATGATCTCGCCGTTCTGTGGCCACGCCGCATAGGTGCAACCTCTACTCTGATTATGATTTAGGACTGGCCATTTAATTGTGCATATGTGGCTCTTTAATTGTTTGTGACTACATATGTCCATTGTCTAGGAAAAAAATAGGAGCATAATAAAACAGAGCTGTAGGTTTTCTTTTAATTGTTTCTAAAAGCATGTTGAACCAAGTTAAGGTACTACACTCATCTATTTTTCTTTACCACAAGTGCTTCCAAAGCTAGAAACTGAACTGCTGATTAGTGGATTAGATTTAAGATTGAGGTTTTGTGAAAAATTATTGTTTATTTGATCCTATGTAGAAGAATAAAAACTGGTCTTAAGAGAAAAAAGTACGTACTTTTCAAAAGTATATCCATGCAGTTGTTAGCACGAGTATGATATATGTATCTGAAGTAAGTGTTTCATGTTATAGCACATCAAGCAAGGATTAAAAAAAAGGATTAGCACCACGCAAGAATGGACATGCAAAAACCTAGCTTTGGGGATGGAGGCCTAGATGTTCATTGTAACGCTTACTAGGAGCTACATTTTGTAAAACATGCATGTGTACAGTCAATTTTTGCAATGGGAGGGGAACGAAAGACCAATAATTGCTAACTTATTTATGGTCAAATCAATGAGTTATGCATGTGCTTTGAATACAATCAAATTGAAAAAAGAAAGATTGTTAACTCTGCATTTGATAACAAAAAAAATGGACCGTGTCCCTATAGGAAATGAAATTATATTTAACAGTTAGGCACCTACCTGACATTTTTTATGTGGCATTGACCTTTTGTCCCTTATTTTTTCAGATAATTGAATAGCGAACACAAAGCCACTTGAATTGAAGCATTGTATTGGTTCTTCACTCTGCTGGATCGATATCAGTATATCAGTACTAAAAGACTGGTATTTCTTTGGACTGCATTTCAATAAATCTCAACAATTACCAGCATGTTTTATTGAAGCTTTTACACTGTCCTAGTTTGATTCTGTCAGCCCAGAATTGGACATGAGAGAGTTGCAATTCATTTTGATTGCAAAAGTAGTTTGAGTCCTGTGATTTTATTTCATATTTGCAGGAACAGTTCTTGGTGTAGGTAAACTATAGTTTTTATCCGGTTCAAAGACACCATGTTTTTTATGCTTCACTTATCGTGTTAAAAATTTTTGGTTGGTTGGTTTGGCTTGGATAGAGTCAACTCTTCTTTGTGCAGGGAAGTTACCTCCTTTAAGGCAATGTATCGAACACCTGGTGTGCACCCCAGCCAGTCAAGCGCCGCCGTCAAGCATGATGCCCTTGAGCTTCTGCCCGCCGCGCGCCGTCCGGTATTGCACGTCCGGCGTCCAGTCCGGCAGCAGGGGACCTCCGACGGGGAGTTGAACAGGGGACCTCCGGTGGGGAGTTGGAGCAGGGGACCTCCAGAGGGGGACAAGGAGGGGACCTCCGGCAACAAGCAGCGCGGGGCATGCGGGGCCGCCGGGATGAGCAACCGCGGCGGCGGAAGAAGCGAGTGGAGGAGCGCGATAGGAGCACGGCGGCGGAAGCAGCGGGCTGTGGGCGGTGACGAGAACTTCAAAAGGGCTTAGCCAAGCCTGACCAACAAAAAACACCCACCCATCTCATTTTTTCAGAGCCAGGCTAAGGCCCCTAAAGTGGCTTAGTCGGCGTGGCTTCGGACAGTTTACGGACAACCAAACACCTCGAAGTTGGCTCCCTGGTGCCTGGTTTGGCCACTCTACCAAACAGGCCCATATACTCGAACGTGTGTACAGAATGGTATGGAGATGTGGCGGAACTTATTCGTGGATTTATTGGCGCACGAAAGAAATGGATATCAGAGATTTCTTCCTGCCGATATAAAATTTTATTTTAGCCACATCACGAAAAGGTCTATGAAGTAGAGTTTGTGAGGCTGTGACGCCGCGCTCTCTGTAACTATGTTAATTTCACAAACTTTGTTGTATTGTTATCTTATATTGCGATACATGTGTTTTAAGTACAAAATGTTAGCTATCCCGTAGCAATGCACGGGCACGGTACCTAGTTAAAATAAAAAAAGGAAAAAAAGGATGTACATCATGTTGTCACATTAGTGGGAAGGATGGGCGGATGGCGATGCCACAGAGCCCCTCCAGCTTGCCCACGACGTCCTTCCTCATCTTGATGTATCTGCCGTCGCCCCAGCTCTCCCCCCATGAGTTCTTGATGATCTAGTACTTGTCTCCGCCGACGCTGGGCACCTCCTGGCCGTAGCCTACGACGGTGACGCCGTGGTTCAGGTTGGTCCCGCAGGGCCCGTTGTACACTCCCTTCTTGTAGTGCTGGAAGTGTTAAGATCGAAAAGATCATCTATGGTTAGGTCTACCGGGTTCTCTTTACTGTGAATGCGATATCGAGAGTAGAGAGACAGAGAGGAATAGAAGAAGAAAGTGTCGAACCTGACACCGCAGAGGGAGATGGTCCAGAAGCCGCCATCTCGTTCGTCGGTAAAGTCTGCGCACGGGCAGCGACGTCGGGGAAGAGGTCAATGAAGTCATCGATGTCGGTGGAGCGGGGCGGCGCGGCTGGTGGCTTCCCGTCACTAGCTGCGCCCCTCTCTGATCGAGATTAGGGTTTAGGTTTCGGTGGGGAGCTCGACTCACGGTAAACCTCGTACTCAGAGCCACCAGCCCCCACCTCTATATATAGCGCAGTGTGACAGGGACCCTCTAGCCATAGTGGGCTGAGCGCCCCCGATCAGGGCGCAGATCAAAGGCCCAACTGGGCCGTTGGGCCCAGTTTAGGATTAGAGATCAATCTAACAATCTCCCCCTTGATCTCCTACCATCTTTCATTTTCATATCATTTACTTTTGTTCATTCCATTATAGATTAGCACATAGAGCATGTTTCATCATCACAGTCAATTGCCGATAGATTTAACAACTACAACACACCACTCTGTTCTAAAATAGATACTTAACTTTGGACCTTCTTTTGTCTAGGAATTATAGGCTTTCCCTTAAACTCATGTCGGCTACATGTTCTCTGAACATGTTGGGTGGTAAGCCTTTTGTAAGCGGGTCTGCGAGCATCTTTTTGGTACTTATATGCTCAAGACTTATGACATGATCCCAGACTTTATCTTTCACAACATAATATTTTATGTCAATGTGTTTGGCAGCACCACTTGACTTATTATTGTGAACATACTGTACTGTCAGATTATTATCGTAGTATAACTTAAGTGGTCTATAGATGTCGTCAACCACCTTCAAACTAGGTATGAACTTCTTTAGCCAGTTCACCTACCCCATTGCCTCATAATACGCTACAAACTCAGAATACATTATGGACAATGTAGTGACGGTTTGCTTTGAGCTTTTCCATGAAATAGCTCCTCTGCGAGAATGAATACATATCCAGACGTGGATCTATCATCTCCCGCATAATCAGAATCTGAATATCCCATTATATGGAGTGAATCTGATCTTCTATATGTCATCATGAGGCTTTTCGTTCCTTGCAAATAAAGCAAGACTTTCTTTACTAATTTCTAGTGTTATGTTCCAGGATTGCTCTGGAATCTGCCAAGTAACCCAGTAATAAATGCCAAGTCCCCGTTGAATAATGTCGTCTTTACATCCATCTGATGTAATTCTAAATCGTAATGTGCCACTAATGCCATTATGATTCTGAAAGAATCCTTATATGAGACTGGAGAAAAGGTCTCATTGTAATCAATCCCTTCTCTTTGCGTAAAGCCTTTTGCCATAAGTCGCGCTTTATATCTCTCTATATTCCCTTGAGAGTCAAGTTTTGTTCTGTAGACCCATTTATAGCCTACTGTTTTGGCTCCTTTAGAAATTATTTCCAAGTCTCAAACTTTATTGGCATTCATAGATTTCATTTCATCTTCCATGGCCTCAAGCCACTTTGATGAATGATCACTTCTCATGGCTTCTTCAAATGAGGTGGGATCATCCTCCATTTGAAATTCCTCATTGTTGTATACTTCATAGTCAGCTGGAATAGCTGATTTTCTAACTCTTTGAGACCATCTAAGGGCCTCCACATTTGGCACATCTTCTGTTTGAGGCTGTTGTTGCTCACCTCAAGTGTGGCAATAGGTTCTATAGGATCCTGAAGAATAGGTTCCTCATCGTCATTCATTGTTGCCACAGGCGGAATAACAACAGGTGCTGGCACCATAGTATCTTGCACTGTCAGTGCAACTATAGCAGGTAGTAAGAAAAATAGCTCATGAATCATCGGAGTGGGCGCATACAACCGCTTCTCTTCAAGGTCAATTTCTCGAGCTACCATGCTCCCCCTCATCATTTCATCCTCTAGGAAGACAACGTGTCTCATTTTCACAAACTTTGTATGTCTGTCTGGACAGTAGAAACAAAAACCTTTTGACTTTTCTGGGTAGCCAATGAAATGGCAACTTACTATTTTAGGATCTAACTTCCCAATGTTTGGGTTAAATACTTTAGCCTGAGCAGGACTTCCCCACACACGTAAGTGGTTTAGTGAGGGTACTCTTCCTGTCCACAACTCATACGGTGTTTTGGGCATCGACTTACTTGGTACTCTATTGAGAATATGAATGGCGGTTTTTAACGCCTCCATTCACAGGCTCAACGGTAAGATGGAGTAACTTATCATACTACGCACCATATCCATCAGGGTACAATTGCGTCTTTTAGCTACTCTATTCTGCTGAGATTCGCCTGGTGTAGAATGCTGGGCTACTATGCCATTCTCCTATAAGAACCTTGCAAAAGGTCTAGGAACTTGTCCATATGGGGTATGCCAACCGTAGTACTCCCCCCACGGTCGGATCTGACTATCTTAATCTTTAAATTATGTTGGTTTTCAACTTCTGCCTTAAATATCTTAAATTTATCCAATGCTTCTGTTCTTTCTTTGATTGGATAAATGTAGCCATAACGGGAGTAATCATCTGTGAATGTTATGAACGAATCATAACCATCCACATTCTTTACAGGAAACAGACCACAGATGTCTGTGTGAATAATCTGTAAAATTCCTACGCTTCGTTTGGCATCTTTCTTAATTTTCTTTACATACTTTTCTTTTATGCATTCTCTACATTGTTCTAAATCTGAAAACTCTAATGGAGGAAGAATATCATTCTTAACTAGTCTTTCTATTCTCTCCCTCGAAATATGGCCTAAACGACAGTGTCATAATTTTAACGACACATCATGAGCTCTCTTTCGTTTTCTGTTTACATCCACAGATGAGGATACATTCTCATTGTCACACGCAACATTCCCATCATCGCATACAACATTCACATCATCACATTGTGATAACAAATAAAGCTCATTTTGTAAGATAGCAAGACCAATACATGCATTATTAAATATTATCTTACATTTGCCATTTCCAAAATGGCAATCATATCCATCATTGTCCAAGCATGAAACACTAATCAAGTTTCTCTGTAAAGAGGGAACATAAAGTACATCTCTAAGTAAAAGTGTGAAGCCATCAGCAAGCTCTAGAGAAAGATCGTCAACGGCTTCAACATCTGCTCGGACTCTATTTGCAACTTTAACGTGTCTTTCTCTTCTTTGCGTAGTCCTCGTCGAACATAATCCCGGTAAGGAATTAGCAACATGAACAGCTGCATCTAAGTCAATCCACCAAGTAGATTTCAAATACTGTACATATAGAGATTCATTTATGAACGTAATAATGTTCTCACCTTTCTTTGCCATGATCATCTTTAAGTAATCAGGACAATCTTTCTTATAATGTCCCATCTTCTTGCAATAGAGACACTGGTCTTTCTCTACTATGAACTTATTTCGTTGAGGCTGATGCAGCATGGGGCCCTTTCCCTTTGACTTTGAGGAGGAGTTAGCATTATTATTCTTTTTCTTGTTGTCTTTCACATAATTGATAGTGCCACCATTGACAGCTTTCATTCTCTCCTCTTGCACACACATAGCCATGAGCCTCTCTAAGTCCCACTTCTCAGGCTGTATGTTGTAGTTGACAACAAAAGTGTCAAATTCCTTTGGCAAGGAAGCAAAATCAGATAGATAAGAAACTCTTCCTAGAGAGCCAGATCCATTGGTTTTAGCTTGGATGCCAAATTGCTCATCCTTAGTATGTGCTCTCTTATGCCATCATTTTCAGAGTACCTCTCTGTCACCAGCTGCTTTATCAGCTGGGTAGCATATGTCTATGAAGAGACAGTGAACTGACTCTTTATTCTATCGAGATACTCGGTGACCGTGTCACACTCTGAGATTGAGCCCATAATACAGGCTCAATCGTGTTCTTTATCACAGCCAAACATTTCTTGTTGGCAGTGACCCACTTCTTATGCTCAAGGTCATAGGACATCTTTTGGGATTCAAAATCCCTCTCTCTAGTTGCCCAAGCGGCATTAGCCTCGTTTGTCTCCCTCACCGGTGCCACAGGCTCAAGCGGCATTAGCCTCGTTTGTCTCCCTCACCGGTGCCACAGGCTCAGTGGGACACGGTGAGGTGACTACCCAGTCCACCTCAGCCAAGATGAAGGTCAGGTCAATCTTTTTCTTTCACTCCGTGTAGTTGTCACCTTTGAGAGTGGGGATCTCTTTGATACAATCCATCAAGTTGTATCTGTCTGAAAACACAATTCATATAGAGTGAGAACATAAATAATAACAACAATTGCATGCCTTGATTCCAACGTTGGTCAAAATTAAAATATACAACTATTTATACATTAAATCTACATCACCGTTTGGCAGAAATAAAAATAATGTATAAAATCATTAAAATTATGATATTATTATTAACAACGTTGGTCAGAAAATAACAACATCATAATCATATCAAAAGCTCTTTTTCTCCAATTAAATATCACGTTGGTTGAAAATAACTGGAGAATAAACAATTTCTTTAGCAGCGGAAAACGTAATTTAATTTAATGAATTTTACCCACAGAAAAATTCTCTTTTCTATTTTCTTTAAGCCATTTATCCATTTTCCAGGAAATAAAACTTTTACTGGAAAAAGAAAAACAAAAATTGATTCAAACTGAACACTGTTCTTTAGCCCAGCCGGCAAAACGGCCCGGCCCAACTACCTTCGCGCGCGCCCGCGGCGCCTCCTAGGCCGCAACCTAGGCCTGGGCCGGCAAAGTGGCCCGCTGCGCGCTCCCGCCTGGGCTCAATCTGGTCCGGTTGATCTACGCCGTTGATGCAGATCGGACAGCCACGCGCGCGTCTCAGCAGATCAAAACGGCGATGCGGTGCCGGCTCCCAAAACCCTAGCTCACTTCTCTTCGCCCTTTCTCTCTCTTAGTCCCGTGAGCGACAGAGCGTAGCCGAGAGCTCAAAGCGGACGCGACGCGTGTAGCCGGAGCCGTGCGCGGCACCGTCGAGCGACACCACGGTGGTGCCCTTTGGCCCGAGCCTGAGGCGGAGATCGTGTGGTGGCGCTTCTCCCGTCCCGGCGGCTGAGGTTGACTTCCCGCGCAGTGTCCACGCGACGGCCGGTGGTGGAGACGGAGCGGGCGGGCCCCTGGTAGGAGCCCCTGCCCTTTGTCCATTCACTCTCTTCCCCTTTCTCGTCGTGAGTTAGGGTTTCGTTAGGTAAGCCGCCTTGCTAGCTCTTCCCCTTTCCCCCTTCTTCTCTTTTGGATCTTCTTTCTTTTCTTCTCAGAGTTGAACCGATTTGGGGTTAGGGTTAGGGTTACTGTTCATCTTCCCCGATGGGTTATTGTTCGGTTGAACTCTCTGTATCTAGGTTTCTTTCCCGATTAGGGTTAGGGTTTCAATCCGAAAATGAATCGAACCCTCTGTTCCTCTTTCTCTTCGATTTCTTTTCAGTTTTCTACCCTAACCTAGATATACACCCTAGAAGACCTTGGCTCCAGTACCATTATTAAGATCGAAAAGATCATCTAGGGTTAGGTCTAGCGGGTTCTCTTTACTGTGAATGCGATATCGAGAGTAGAGAGACGGAGAGGAATAGAAGAAGAACGTGTCGAACCTAACACCGCAGAGGGAGATGGTCCAGAAGCCGCCATCTCGTTCGTCGGTGAAGTCTGTGCATGGGCAGCGACGTTCGGGGAAGAGGTCAATGAAGTCATCGACATCGGTGGAGCGGGGCGGCGCGGCTGGTGGCTTCCCATCACTGGCTACGCCGCTCTCTGATCGGGATTAAGGTTTAGGTTTCGGTGGGGAGCTCGGCTCACGGTAAACCTCGTACTCAGAGCCGCCGGCCCCCACCTCTATATATAGCGCAGTGTGACAGGGGGCCTCCAGTTATAGTGGGTTGGGCGCCCCCGATCAGGCCGCGGATCAAAGGTCCAACTGAGCCGTTGGGCCCAGTTTAGGATTAGAGATCAATCTAACAGGAAGTTGTCCCCGCCGGCCTCGATGGACACGGCCACAGGCTGCCCCGCCACGGCGTTCGCCAGCGACGCCTCGCTCCGGGTGGCCACGTGCCGGAGCCCCGCGATGCTGACCGTGTTGTGGGAGAGCTTGGCCCTGTTGCAGGCGTCCGTGGTGCCCGTGTACGGGTAGTCGTCGTCCGTGGTGAGCCCGCCGTTGGAGGTGATCCACCGCAGCGCGCGGTAGCTGATGCCGCCGTCGCAGCCGGCGTCCAGCGTGTCGCAGTCCACCAGCTCCTGCTCCGACAGCGACACCAGCTTCCCCGTCCGGATCTGGTAGATCCCTTCAACCACCGCCACCGTCGAGAACGCCCAGCACGACCCTGCACATGCAGATGCAGGCAAAAGCATGTGTTTTGGGCAGTGACAAGCATGCATGCATGTGGTTAGGGACAGGTGAGAGCAATAATAGGTGGCAAATGACAGGTGCCAGGACGGAATGACATGATGATGCTCTTTACGGGTTGTGATTTGTGCCTACCACATCCGTCTTGGTTCTTCACAGGCGTCACGGCGCCGCTGGCCCGCCAGTCCACGCTCGCCGGCGCGGCGGTGGACAGGTTCACGTACACCGGCAGCTGGCGGCCCGGCGCGCCCCGGCCGACGGCGTCAACGGGCCCCGCGCACGTGGTGATCACCGCCTGGTCGTCCTCGTCGTCGTCCGCAGGCAGCTGCGCCGGCGCGGGCGCCGTGTACATGGCCATGAACTCCTGGTTGGTGAGGTCGGTGTAGGCCGTCTCGCCGAGCTCGTACGTGAGCCCCGCTGCCTCGGCCTTGGCGTTGGTGGCCTCGATGTACGCCATGTTGCGCGCGTACACCCGGAACCGCCGCCGCTCCTCGGCGACCGTGGCGTAGGACTTGTTGTACGCCGCCTTCCACCGCTGGAACCGCTCCATCATCGGGCTGCCGCCGGCGTACGGTCTGTGGGCCATCGCCGACGAGCAGCCATGATGGAAGACAGTGATGAGGAGGAAGAGGACCACGCATGGCAGCGACCGCTTGGAGGAGGACGCCATGGATGATCGGGACTGGTTGGCCTAGCCCGCGGTTGGTCTACGCTAATGGTAACAGGATGAGACAAATGATTTGATGGAGGTGCATATATATAAACAACGAGTGGTGCTGAGATGGATATACGTACACTAGTGTGATTGGAGAGGGGACGGACAAGTCAAACAGCTTCTTCGTTGGTTGGTTTTAGCTAGAGCTTATTAGTTATGGTACAATATTTTTCTCTCATAACAAATCAGCACTTATCGGATTTATCAGCTCAGAAACCAACCAACGAATACCCTGAAAGTCTTGGCTTCACGCCGGCCTTCACGGCTTCACCTCGGCCCTTGTGCTGACAAAGCTAGCCAGTCAGACAGACACACGACACAGGAGTTCAATCTTGTAATGCTCTAGAAATTATTGGTGATGCAAATCACCTCTTCGATGGAATCATGAAAAACCCATTAGAAAAACATACCTAGAAGTTTGAAAAACAATGAAATGATGCACATGCATAGAACATCTTTAGATGTACATTATCACAAAATTTTGAGATTCAAACTCCATCTGGAAAAACTAATATGAAAAGAACAAATTTCAGGTACATATGCACTACAAGACAAATTTTTCTTATGAATTTTTACAATATACATTTATAGATTATAGATGCACATCTTTTTTATATTTGTTCTATATATGTGATGGGTTATTTATTTATTTTTCATATATCGTTTGACAGCTTTAGATCGCTAGTATGTTACAATCTTGTTGTATAGGATTAATGTGGTAGGTTTAGCCACTAAAAACGAAACACTAACTTCTTTGATCTTATACTAATACTAAGTTTTTATTTACTTGTCTTTGAAAATTTGAAAATCAAGCTACTACTTTTTTCTAATTTGCAATTTTTAATTTAGACTTTTACTAATTCTAATTTATATGCACTATATTCATTTATATATTCTCTTTCCAATTATCTTAGAGACAAAACATTAATTTTATATTTTAATCAAATTTATTACCTTACCTTTAGTAATTATGCTTTACATGGACTGTTTATGTATATAATTTTCTTTAAAACTCATATGAAAAATAAATTTCTATTATTTATTCAATTTATTATCGTGAATATTTTATTAATTGTATAAGGCACGGATTCTATAGTTTAATCTATGCCATTAGATAATAAAAAATGCAACAATGTAGGTTCTTTTTATTTTTCCGTTAATGTGGTTTTTTTATTAATATGGTAACTATTAATTGTATTAGATATATGGACTCTTGTTTAATCTAATCTATTAGATCATCACAAATGGTATATGTTCTTTTTGTTTTTCTTTAGTGGTAACATACAACATAGACTTCTTCCATGATCCAAAATATTTTTTAATGTTTTATATGTAGCCACGTAATTTACTATTTATTGATTATATAGGGCACTAATTATTTGGTTTAATCTAAGCCATTAGATCATCATAAAATCCAAGGACATAGGTTCTTTTTATTTCCTTTGTTAATGTGGAACTTATTAATTTTAGAGTTCAATACATTGGCGGCGCTTAAACTTATGACTCTATGCCACTTATGTCCATGAACTCTCAAAATCGAAATATGTCTCCCTGAACTTGTCAAAGTGTGCCACTTAGGTCCATACCCCCTCAGAGGGCATTGACTAGGATAAAATTTTACAAAAACCACCCTATCTAGTCATCTTCCTCTAGCACTCCTTTCCTAGGCCCATGCGGTGTCGACATCGCCCAAGCCGGCCTCCTCCTCCGGCCGAGCATGCCTCACCAGTCCCCATCACCGCTCCACACCCTAGCCCACCTCCTGGCGTCCCCGCCTGCCAGCGCACGTATGACAAGCACCCCGATGGCATTGCCCTGGCGTCGCAGGTGGAGCTCCCCTTCGGCGAGCTACTAGTTGCAGCGGCGAACGACGGTTCCTCATGGACGAGCAAGCCATAGTTGGCCACAAGCTCCGCAGCTCCAACCTGGAGAAGGCCAGCTCACCCGTGGCTGCACCACAAGCAAGCTCCCTGACGCTCGCCTTGCGCACTCGAGCCACCGCTACTCGGCCGCTCTACGCGCAGCCATCGTCCGTGCCTCGCCACACACGTGCCGCGTCCCCAAATGTAGAGGTGGCCAACCCATCACCGTCGCCTTCGCCCCCCACACACCCACGTCCCTGGACATCCTACTCCTCCTTGCTGACGCCAAGACGCTGGCCATCCGCGCGCTCGATGGCGGCCACGGGCGGCGCCAGGAGGTCCTGGGCGTGCGAGGCTGCCTTGCCACCGCTGCCTGTGCGTGCGCTGGCGGGCGGGGACATCGAGAAGTGGGCTAGGGTGTGGGGCAGCGAATCGGCGATGGGGAGGCGTGCTTGGCCGGAGGTGGAGCCCAACTCGGGCGACGCCGGCACCGCGGGCCTAGAAAAGGAGCACTAGGGATAGAAGATGACTAGATAGATATAGATAGGGTGGTTTTTATAAAATTTTAACCTAGTCAACGTCCTCTGAAGGGGGTATGGACCTAAGTGGCACACTTTGACAAGTTTAGAGAGGCAGATTTCGATTTTGAGAGTTTGTGGACCTAAGTGGCACAGAGCCACAGGTTTAAGGGCTGCTAGAGTATTTAACTCTTAATTTTATTAGCCATACATGGACTCTTTATTGAATCCAAGCCATTAGATCATCATAAATGGTATATGTCTTTTTATTAAGTGAGGCCCACCTTTCTCGTTAGATGAAATAATATTTATCTTTAGTATTAAGATATAGTGATACTTCTATTTTTTTATCTATAACTTTTTTTACATTTTCTTATTGGCTACTTGTATTTTTGTAATCCACAAATATTACTTTTCATTTTCTTATATATGGTTGTGTAGATGGATTTTCTCCTAGTTAGACTCCAATTCATTTTGGTCCAACCATGATTGACGCCATAATTTACGTTCACTAAGAGTTTATTTTTTAAGCAGGATTATAGTATTGGTTTAGGACTCATGTAGCCATAAAAAAGTCACGTCCGACCTTAGGACTCTGTAGTGATAAGGTACCACTGGTTTTTTCCTTTCCATGATTGATATCATTTTTTCATTAATAAATTTAGTTTTATCAAGATTGGCTGGGCTATCAAGATTAGGATGTAAGGATTAATGTGGACCATTAGATCGTATAAAATATAACAGTGTATGTCCTTTTTCAATTAATCTCAAAATTTCTGGACTCTCTCGAAGAATCATGATGACTCCTTTTAACACTATTATATTAATGAGGAAAATACACGGACGGTCCTTTGGCATGGGGTGTCATCTAAGTCCCTCTACTTTTAAAATGCTAATTCTATGTTCATAAAGTTGGCTTCGGGTGTCATTCAGGTCCAAATAGGTCCAAACGAGTTCGGATGAAGACAAACTTTATATCAAAATTGTAACCCTCGATAGGATCTACAACTTTGTAGTTGAAAAGTTTTTAAATTGAAACTGTTTAGAATCCCAAAATATTGTTTTAAGTGCATAGATTTTGAAATTTAAAATTTAAAATTATCCAAAAATCTCGGATGTTGACATGGTATATATGAAAGTTATAGTTATCGACACGATCTAAAAATTTGTAGTTTAAAAGTTTTTTTATTTGAAGTTGTTTAGTGTCCCAAATATGTGTTCTAAGTTTATAGATTTTTAAATAAGAAACTTAGAACACATATTTGAGATACTAAACGACTTCAAATAAAAAACTTTTCAACTACAAAGTTGTAGATTTTATCAATAAATATAACTTTCATATAGACCATGCTAACATCCGAGATTTTTTGATAATTTTAAAATTTAAATTTTAAAATCTATAAACTTACAACAGTATTTTTGACCCTAAACAGCTTTAATTCAAAAACTTTTTAGCTACGAAGTTGTAGATCTTGTTGAGGGTTACAATTTTGATTTAAAGTTTGTCTTCATCCGAGCTCATTTAGACCTAGATAACACCCACAGCTAAGTTTATGAATCTAGAATTGATATTTTAAAAGTAGAGGACCTGTAAAAGGCCGGTTGGTATGTTCCCTCGTTATGAGCACCATTCTCGTACAACACAGTACTCAATCCATCCCAAATTATAAGACGTTTGATTTTTTTGACACTAAGTTTGACTACTCGTCTTATTCAAAATTTTGTGCAAAATATCACTTCTTTTGTCATGGCTTGGTTTATTAATAAAAGTTCTTCAAGAATGACTTAAATTTGACTATATTTACATAAATTTTTTGAATAAGATGAGTGGTCAAACTTGAGGTAAAAAAAGTATAACTTAAACTTTAAACAATGGAAGGCATGAAAGCTTTTTACTAATTAAATATGGATAGAAATTTGGGGGATACCGTACGTCACAAGTGCTACTACAGGTCGTCCTGTTGCGTGCACACACACTCCCGAACAGTTTCTTATGGTACAACTTTTCTTTGTGGAACCTTTTTTTTCTACTATAAAAACCTATAGTAGGTCCCCACCCCTAGTTTGTGGAATATTAACCCTATCTTTTGTGAAACATTTTTTTTTGTTTTCTTGTTGGGACATATAGATATCTGAGCAATAGAAATATTTCACAAAGAAGAATAAAATGTTTTTTTTTGTTTTATTAGCTAATATAAAGAAAAGAACTTTGGAGTGGAGTGGGACGTGACAACTTGTTTGTTCTTTCATTCTTTTTGGGAGCGGCGTTTCCCACGTGCTTCAGCCTGGGCAAATTACCAACCAACGTTGATTCGACAGTTACAGAGTGTCGACCCATCGTAGCACAGCACATTCTAGACGCAAACTGCAAACTGAAACCGAAATATGGTGACAAAATCTTTTCGCAAAAGTCTTTTGAGAGTAAGGTGACATTGAAATCTGGGTACAGAACCTGGGTCTAAACAAACACTCGGCAACAAATCTCGACTTCTTGCACCACGGAAGCAGTAATTACTAATTACATGGCTTCAAACTTTAAGGGCGCGTGCTGTTTGGGTCCGAGTTCGACATGACC